AAAACACTCAAGCAGATTGCGCACGAGTGAGACCTTGTAGTAGCTAAGAACAGCTCTGGTGGATCAGACAGAAGGCTCATCTTGTCCAGAGGCTTGCTTCCCACAGTGACCAGTTAGATGCCTCTAGGACAGAGGTTCAGCAGGTCAAAGCACCGATTTGGCTCTTCTCACCAGGCCTGCTGGGAGCCACACCCTCAAAGGCATGTCTGCTGCTGCTGCTGCTGCTAATAGAAGCTGAAACCTCATTTCTCTCTTTTCTTTCATTAAGGAGAAAGCATGATTTTGGTATATCAAGGCTCCTCACCTTGCTTTACGCAGGCTTCACTTTGCTACCAGGTTACAATTTGATTCTAGGGAATCACAGCCTGACGAAGCTGCGGAGTTGTTTCATTGTGCATGCTTTTAATTTGTCAAAAGGTAAAGGTAAAGGTTCCCCTTGACAATTTTTGTCCAGTCGTGTTCGACTCTGGGGGGCGGTGCTCATCCCCGTTTCCAAGCCATAGAGCCAGCGTTTTGTCCAAGACAATCTTCTGTGGTCACATGGCCAGTGCGACTTAGACACGGAACGCTGTTACCTTCCCACCGAGGTGGTCCCTATTTAGCTACTTGCTAGGTTGGCGGGAGCGGGGACAAGCAATGGGAGCTCCCTCCATCGCATGGATTCGACCTTACGACTGCTGATCTTCTGACCTTGCAGCACAGGCTTCCGCGGTTTAGCCCGCAGCGCCACCACATCCCTTTAATTTGTCAAAAGCTATTTTAAATAGTTCCTTTTATATCTATAACCCACGCTGAGGTTTTTTCCCCCCTTAAATACAGGGAAGGACATAAATATTTTAGCAAATTAACAAAATAACAAGCAATAATAGTACCAGCTGTAGCCGTAGTGGTCTCTAGGGGCTCCAAAAGAGTCAGAACCGGCACATGGGTGTTACCCAGCTCTGCTCGAGGGAGCAGGCGGATGGAACATGGGAGTGAACAGGGCCTCCAGCCATGGCTGACAAGAAACATGCTGCTTTTAATACTTGCAACAATATCTAGGACTGTGCTTATCTAGCCATCGTAACTGCAGAAGAGAAAGGTATGATAATGGGCTATAATGGGATGCAAAGTTGGTTTTGCCAGCAGCTCCAAGTGGGTGGAAAGATAGCTCTCCAGAGCAGTTGCTTCCTCATCTTCTAGGCCTCAAGAAGTCTTCAGAACCAGGTTCTATGGGATGAGTAGCTAGAAAAACTGGCTGTGCTGCAGTTCAGACAATTTCTGGGAGCTAGGCATTGAGAAGGTGTTCAGCAAACTAGAACCTCCTTCCGAGGGTCATGAGGGCGACCGCTACATCTTTCTCCTCCGGGGGCCAGAATGTGGATGTGTGCTAATGCCATCCTTGTCTTCTAGGGAGCTGTTACCACTGCCATCTCTGTTCCCTACCACTTTCATCCTCCACCTGCGGGAAGGTTTATTTGTGCCACCAACACAGTGTGATGGGGCAGTGTTTTTCTCTCTCCCCTACTTGAGGCAGGAGGAAAGCTTGTTTTGCCCCTGGTAGGGTGGTTTGCTGGTAGCTAGTCTATCACAGGTTCTCAGCAGTCTCAAAATTTTTCCGACAGGTATTTAATCAAACCAAATTGAATCTCCTAACACTGACCAAAAAGGAGACACTCAAAGTTACATTTTAAAAAAGCCACCAGGGGTTTCTCTCATCAAAGAGAAATCTCAAGGCATCCGATTATTTGAGAGAGCAGGATACCCAGAAAACAAGATGGGTGTCTTCGGCTTCTCCTCCTCCTCTCCTTTGCAAGACATAAAAGCCAGTATTTTTGTGCCGTAGAAAGTTAGCTTTCTCCTCTCTCTCTACCTGCCCTTTTCTTTCATTACTTGAGAAGAAGACTGCTTGACATTTTATAATGCTATATTTTATGTTCCTTTCTGTGGTAAAAGGGAAGGCAAATCAAGGCGACCGATATAGCATTTCTTAATTTGCTGCAGTGCAGTAAATGAAGGAATCGTGGAGGAAGATGTTCTCCGCTTCGGCACAACTTACAGTGGGATGTATTTCTAAATAGACATGTTAACAGCACACTAGAGAAACTGAGGTAAGTAATATCTGTACTGACCACAGAATCACAGAATCATGCAGTTAAAATAGGGGCAAGGAAATCCAGATAGAACATCCTAACAGCTGGGCATCCAACCTTTGCTTAGACATTTCCAAGGGAAGGTGCGCCACTGTCAAACAGGTCTTACCACTGGAAAATACTTCCTAATGACTAATTGGAATTTTCCTTCTCACAGTTTGATTGCATTAGTTTGGCTCCTGCTCTCCAAAGCAGCAGAAAACAAGCTGGTTTCATTTTCCCATCTTCGACATGACAGACTTTCACAAACTCAATGACTGACTCAGGAATTTACCCATTTCGTTCATAAGAACATAGGAAGCTTTGTTCTACTGAATCAGAACGTTTATCCATTTTGTCCAGTAAAGGCAGCAGGTAAAATCTCTCCAGGGTTTTCACAGCCCTACCTGCAGATACTAGGAGTTGAAGGTGGAATCTTCCCTGTACAATGCACGTTAAGGATTCATCTGAAGAGCCATGAGTACTCAACCCTGCACTATACTTAGCAGAGTTTGCCTGTCCTTCTACTGTGACCCATGACAGCTGCAATTCTTTCATCAGGTCGGCTTCATGCTCCTATATTATAGGAACATATAGAAAGTTAAGTGTGTGTTATGCCCAAGGGCTTTTTGTAACCCTCTATCAACCATGGGATTCCCCAAGTCTAAACCCCGCACGAAGTTTTTGCCACCAAGGATGTGAGGGGACTTTTTCAGTTAAAAAAAAATCATTTGAAAAACGTTTCAGTTAACAAGGTCCACTATAATGAACCTACAAAATTAATAAATATATCAACAAATGTGCAAATTAGCCTCTTTGGCCCCTCCCCTTTAACCCCTCCTTCCTTGGCGTGTGGTTGCCAACACATTTGAAAAAAAGGCCCTCATGCCAGACTGTCCTACATGAGAAAATGACAGCTGTATTAATTGGGTCATAGTCTCTGAGATGTTTACTTCTCCATCACTTTGTGGTTTTTGTAAGGCACATCTTTTCACCTCTTTGTTTTCTTAACCTATGTTAGTGTTTATCTGGAAACACCTTGAAGCTTGCCTATGTGAAGATAAATTAAAACATGTTTTAAAAAAAATGATAGCAAAGGAAGCAAAATTTTGTATTCTCGAAGGCTTTCATGGCTGGAATCCGGCGGTTGTTGTTAGGTTTTTTGGGCTGTTCGGCCATGTTCAGGGTTTTTTTCTTCCTAACGTTTCACCAGTGTCTGTGGCCAGCATCTTCAGAGGACAGGAGTTAGAACTCTGTCTGTGTTCTGGTGTAGTGTGTGGAATAGTTGAGTATTTGTACCTGTGGGATCAGCTTTTTGTCCTTTTCAGGAGACTGGGTGATTATAGTGATCAGGGTGTTTCTTGTTATAGATCTATTGTTGTGATAACGGGGAGATGATCTGTCACTGTGATTGATGGATGTCGTTAGCTAGTCTTTTGTGTGCAGTGATCATCAGTCTTTGTGGCTGGGTAGAGTTCATTGACCTTTTGTATGCTGTATTTTTGAGAGCTGGGAGCCAAGTTTTGTTGAGTT